CAAAACTGTCTTTCCATCATGAAAGGCTATTATCTGAAAATCAAAACTCGTCCTACACCTTGGACTTCTGTGTGTGTGTAAGTATTGCTCAAGACTGTCTTTCCATCAGGAAAGGCTATTATCTGAAAATCAAAACTCGTCCTACACCTTGGACTTCTGTGTGTGTTTAAGTATTGTTCAAGACTGTCTTTCCATCAGGAAAAGCTATTATCTAAAAATCAAAACTCGTCCTACACCTTGGACTTCTGTGTGTGTGTAAGTATTGCTCAAGACTGTCTTTCCATCACGAAAGGCTATTATCTGAAAATCAAAAACTCGTCCTATATTTTAATGTTCTTTGAGCTTAAAAGTAATCATGAGACTCCCAGTGGCACAGCGGTATGTCTGCAGATTTACAAAAAACCCGCAGTTTGTTAGGCAATAGAGCTAATCCTAGGTTATTTTTGATGTTTCGGCTTAAAATTTTTCTTCTGTGAAATCAATCGAAAAATTAGTTTAGGAGAGACAGTTTTACCTGGTTTTTTTTTCGTACATTTGGAAAAAAATATTTATTTTTTATGGTCAGAAATTAATTTCAGCACTTGACAATGAAGCTCAGAATGGTTTCAGAAGATTAAAACTTGTAGTACCAAGTTCCGTGGGCATTAAATATAACATAAGTAGATGACGTGCCCATTCAAAGCACCAGAGAGACACACGGAGCCCCGGGGAATGAAATAAGAAGGACAAATCCGAACAGTTCAATTATTGAAACACTTGCTACGCTGTTAAATTATAAAATAGAGTAGACGATGACGTTAGTTGGAATAATACGTATTTCTTTCTACTATTTGGGGCTGTTATGTAATTTCTTGAAGGAAAGCGAACAACTTACTTATATGAACTGATACCAATTCCTATACATGCTATAATACAAGTGCTTAAAGAAATGATTGAACTTTCATGTCGTACAAGAACTTTCACATTGCATTGTTTTGTTTGCTTGTTTTTGAATTTCGCGCAAAGCTACACGAGGTCTATCTTCGCTAGCCGTTCCTAATTTAGCAGTGTAAGACTAGAGGGAAGGCAGCTAGTCATCACCACCCACCGCCAACGCTTGGGGCTACTCTTTTACCAATGAATAGTGGGATTGACCGTCACATTATAACGCCCCCGCGGCTGAAAGGGCGAGCATGTTTGGTGGGACGGGGATTCGAACCTGCGACCCTCAGATTGCGAGTTGAGCGCCTTATCCACTTGGCCACGTCAGGCCCCACAGTGCATGGTTGTCGGTGGTAGTACTGTTGACGTTAGCGAAATTTGGATAGTATTATATTATGGATTTTGCTCTGTTCAGAACGGATTCTACTTAACGAGCTTACGCACGTGTAGATACGCATGTGTTAGCGGTGTTTAGAATCCAGGGATCAATACTTTTTTAATTTATCTATATATACATATACACAAATTTTACTATTGACTGTGGCCAGTAAACTTTTCGTCAAAGAGTTTTATTTTCATTACTGACATTTCCGTCACCCACCCACCCCACCCCGGTAGGTCAGCGGCGAGTCTTACGACTTTAAAATCTGTAGTTCGATTTTCCGCAGTAAGCAGAGCTCAGGTAGCCATTGTGTAGCTTTGAGTTTAAACAACGATAGTATTTTACCTTTTCCAACACCCTCGTAGGGCCTAGTGGTTTGGGCGTTTGAGATCCAATCTGGGGTCGCTGGGTCGAAGTCTGTCACCGAATATGCTCGTCCTTTCAGCCGTGGAGATGTTATAAAGTGACGGTCAGTCCCGTTTTTCGTTAGTAAATGAGTAGCCCAATAGTTGGCGGAGGGTGGGGTTGATTACCTGTCTCCCCTATAGTCTATCACTTCTGAATTAGGGTCGGTCAGCGTAAATAGCCTTCGAGTAGCTTTTCACGAAATTCAGCAAACAAGCAAATATTTCCACCAACACCTATCGGTAGGAACTGTAATGAAATATCTTGTTTGGTTGATTTTATGTATCATTTATTTTCAGTTTTATCGAAAAATTTGCTTTTAGTAAAGAGGACAAACATGTCGTCACAATAACGGTTTCTCGAAATACTGCTTTACTGATATCTCGGCACAAATGGTAAGCTATTCGTATTGGTTAAACAACAAGGATAAATGACGTCACAAGTTATATTTCGGTGTTATTTTAGCTTTTTATGCCAACAAATATTCTGTTTTTGTTTTTTTTGTTAAACGTAAAAATGTATATAAATAATATAAACGACGTCATTAAATTAGATAATCATTCGCTACCACAGAAAATGTTAATATTAATGGAGTTTTTTACCACCAGAGAGCTCTATCATTTTTGACACATAATAATAATTGGTTTGTTTTAAATTTCGCTCAAAGCTACATGATGGCTATCTACGCTAGCCATTCCTAATTTAGCAGTGAAAGAGTAGAGGGAAGACAGCGACTCTTGGGCTACTCTTTTACCAACGAATAGTGGGATTGACCGTCACATTATAACGCCCCCACGGCTGAAAGGGCGAGCATGTTTGGTGTGACGGAGATTCGAACCCGCGACCCGCAGATTATGACTCAAGCGCCCTAACCACCTGACCATGCATAATAAGAATGCGAATGATACCAAACAACTGAGAAGTATACTGTATAACTGAATTATCGATATGGATACTTCCATGGGTCATCACCAGAAAGCTTAGCTTGTAATCTTTATTTGAGGAAGAACTCTGTCACGGCTCTTTTTTATTATTTGAAAAGTATCAATGTAGATAATTCAAATTAGAGAGAAAAGTGAATAAAATAATTCTATCAATAGTATGGGCGTGGCCTAGTGGTTGGCATACTCGGAATGTAATTCCGAGGTTCCATGGTTCGCGGCTCATTACCACAAAAGAGCATTTCGCTCTTTCGAGCAGTAGTTGTGCTACAAAAGTGACGGTCACATTCCACTATTTGGTCGCACAAGAGTTGGCGGTGGGTGATGCTGATTAGCTGCCAATCATCAATCTCAAATGGGGGACGGCTCTGCGTAAGTATCCCTTTTTTGTAGCTTTGCGCGAATGTTCTGAATTAAACAACAACAAAAGAAAATAGAATATAAATACGTTACTTTACTAGCAGCCCCCCCCCTCCCAGTGGCACAGCGGTATGTCTGCGGACTTACAACTCTAGAATCCGGGTTTCGATACCCGTGGTGAGCAGAACACAGATAACCCATTGTGTAGCTTTGTGCTTACTTGCAAACAAACAAACTTTACTAACAAAAATCAATCGCTTGTAAATAATACACACCCTTGAAACAATAACCATAATAACAACAACAACAACAGCAAAATAGAGATATTTTATATAGATGAGGCAATTCCTTGGTTAAGAAGAGAAAGTCGGGTTAAGTTGTAATAGGAAATGTTTTAATTATACGGACATGTAATTTATAGCTGTAATTATTCATAATGAAAGATGCCCCTAAATATCACGGAAGGTTTCGTAACAAAAGTGTTGACAAAGGAAAATTTAAAGCGGTAAACTCTGCAGTAAAAAGAACATTTATTCGAAGGTAAATCTATCAAGTCAAAAGTATATAAAGATAATTTTAATTCATTGATAATTTTTTTACAATCTTTTTTTTTTTCCTTTCAAGAATAAAACTTACGATAACCTTTGCAGACCTTTCGAGCTGTACAGTTGAACTTGCTTTTATAAGCTTGTGATTTGCCTCCTACAAACCCTTGATCAATTTTACTAGGTATAGCCATCAATCATGAAAATCACTCGAGATGTAAAGACAGACAGTCATGATTACTTTTCAGCTCATAGAACATTAACGTATCGGATGAATTTTAATTTTTAGATGATAAACATTTATGGTGTAAAGTTTGTTTGCTTGTAATTAAGCACAATACTACACAATGGGCTATCTGTGCTCTGCCCACCACGAGTATCGAAACCCGGTTTCTAGCGCTTGAACATCAAAAATTACCTACGATTAACCGTATTGCCTAACAGACTGCGGGTTTTCTTGAACATCAAAAATTACCTACGATTAACCGTATTGCCTAACAGACTGCGGGTTTTCTTGAACATCAAAAATTTCCTACGATTAACCGTATTGCCTAACAAACTGCGGGTTTTCTTGAACATCAAAAATTTTCTACGATTAACCGTATTGCCTAACAAACTGCGGGTTTTCTTGAACATCAAAAATTTCCTACGATTAACCGTATTGCCTAACAGACTGCGGGTTTTCTTGAACATCAAAAATTTCCTACGATTAACCGTATTGCCTAACAGA